TATGTCCAAAATACCACATTTTCAAAAAACAAGATGGCTGCCAGTCGGCCATTTTGAATCGAATCGCTAAACCACTGCATGTACATATGTCCCACATAAGGTACTAGGCACATGCAAAGAATGAATGGAATCGGTCCACAGGATTCTGAAATATTACTATTGACAGACTGACGCACGAACGGACGGATGGACGGACAGACTCAGGAACTCACAGATGGTCTGGGACATGTATCCTGACATGTATGATCGATGTACTAAATTTGAATGAAAACTGACAAAGCATGTCCGAAATACAACATTTTCAAAAAACAAGATGGCTGCCAGTCGGCCATCTTTGATCCAATTGTGAAATAAATCGTCATGGACATGTATCCTAACATGTATAATCTATGTACCAAATTTGAATGAAAACTGACAAAGCAGTCGGCCATTTTGAATCGAATCGCTAAACCACTGCATGTGCATATGTCCCAGATAAAGTACTAGGCACATGCAAAGAATGAACAGAATCGGAGATATGACTCCGGACGGATGCACAGACGCACGGACGGAGACCGAATTATAAGTCCTCGTTTTCGGACTTTGTCTGAACGGTGACTAATAAAGTATTTTACAGTATCGTAAAACTGAAGCTGTACCCGAAATGTGATTACTATAGGGTAAATCACAGACAAAGTGATGTAAAATCAAAGTTCCATAATATTTGAACAAAATCCATGTATTCAGGGCATAGACCATGTTTTGAATCGAATGATAGAAAAGAGATATGATGTATGATGGTCATGTGACATTTGAATGTGATCTATCCAGACATGTCAGAGATATAGGATGCACAGAAGTGAAGTCCTGTATTTTCAGATTTCTTCAGAATGGGTATAAACAATAGTGTTATAGAAGAACAATGAGGCTATCAATAATTACATGTATTTATAAAAATTACTAGTTTATCTACCCATTAATTGTTTCTCGTAAAACTACTTGAAAGTTAAAAAATAATGCAACAATATATGTCAGCAGAATTTGAAAGGGAAATTACTCACCATATATGAAAATAGTTTGAAGAGAAAAATGATTTATACTATACGATGAAAACATGTGTGTTTATCAGAATGGTGATTATCTGACTCCAAGAATTTGCTGGTTAATTATTAACTTGTGTGTACCTGGTAATCATTTTTTTTGTACGATTATAACATATACTGTATTAATCCCAAGGTCTCTTATTAGATAACACAACCAGAATTGCATAAATGTACCGGTATAATCAATGTTAAAAATATGGTGTAACTTCAAATGGCATATTATCTCGTTCAAAGTGACACCTCCTTCTCATATCATGCACAATTGTATAATCTACCGGTACATATAAAACAGTTCGACATTTTGAAACAAATCACAAAATAAAACATGAGTGTCATTCATTCAAAGTTTCAATGAAATCGACCGAGGAATGCTTGCAAATCTGCCAGTCAGTCAAAGGTCATCTAAACGCAATTCAAATTGATGTGCCTAGTTATAACACACAAGTTGTCTTTGTTTGTCCCTACTATGAAAATAAAACAGTCTAGTCATTTTCTTGATGACAAGAATGCTCACAAAAAATTAAGTCATCAACACTACATGAATTAACCTGACAAAATTTGAGTCAATTTTCAGTTTTTCTCCAAAAATGTGGCTATTTTTGTTCCAATATATCTTATGAAGGAAAGTGCAGACTGTGAAAGGGACTATTTTGTGAATTTGTGAAGAAAAGAGGAAACTGCTGGTGAAAAGGTTAATGGAAAAAACATTGAACATTTCTTTTCTAATACAGTACATCTTTGATCGTCCAACAATGAATTCTGTTTACGATTTGGTTACTTGATGACACCTCAAGTTACTGATAATTTAATCACTGAAAATGAATTCACTGAACTCCTCGGTGTTATTCGGCTATCAGCAAGGCTGATATCTTGAAACGACTGTAACTGTTGCATTTATTACAGTATACATATCACTAGAAACATCAACAAACTTTTAACAGATAGACGGACAGAACAAACCAATTAATGCAATGATCTGTTTTAATGGTAGTTGTACCTTTAACATAACCAACAATTCAAATTACAATTCTTTTCTCATATATGAATTAATTGTCAACTCACCGTACATTTATTCTTCTTACAACCAGACACACATCCTAGTATTCCAGTTACTATTATCTGTAAATATTTGAGAATGCAGAGAAAAATATGAAAGTAAAATATTATACATTTTTATTAATCCATGTCTACTACCATGGATTGATATCATAAAGAATACATGACAGTCATAACCATGGTGATTTGCAAATTATGAGACACAAACACTCTTCTTTTAAAGCGGCAATTGAATAGTTTTGTGGCATCACATATTGAAATGGATTGCTGTGTGCTGTGATCGCATAAACATAAATGAAAGATTATCTTCATATCCACTTATACAAAACGCATGTATTACTCTTTAAAAAACAGTATGAGATTTACACTTAGTCAGTTTTTCCAAAGACTAACTGTTATGGCCAAATAACGTTATACTAATTTGCTATTGTACAGTCCATCGCCCTCTGTAGTTGAGATTTGGTAAGGTGGCTATTTATAGCACCGGGAAAAAGCAGAGAGAAATGGCAGATCGCATCATGTCTTGCTGGTGTTTTGACGCATTTGCATGAATTACAGCAGTCGAGTGAACTACACTAAGCGAAGTTTAGGTTGTTGGTTGTTGGGGTCTAATATTACGGTGAGCATAAATATGATTTCTTTGTTACGAACTGCTGACTTTTGCAACGTTTGTTTGAGGTCATTGCTTCGTATACATGTGACTCGTGTTTACCGATCACGCTAGTCTTTACGCTTTACGATCTACTGCGTGTAATTCCATGTATTTCTAAGATGTGTTGTGATATCTTTACCTTTTGTGAGGTAGTCGCTAACTGTGATGATAGTAATATTACTGTACAAAATGTACATGTATACTATGCATATCAATCGATTACGTGAAATGTATTGTTTACTTATGTGCTTTATTTCTCTGTATACCTTTCAGTCAATCGTTTCTCAGTGGTGGAAAGGAATAAAGTGTCAAGTTTATGTTCGGACATTTGTTTCTTATATTTTTGGAGAGCGCATTGACAACTCCCAATAATCCAACAAGGGACCGATCATTAGCCTTTTTGTTTGCGTCCTACATTCTATTGACGTAATAGGCAAGTTGTTGTCTTGAACATGGATCATCGATATACTGACCCAAATTT